GGGAGGGGGAGGGGATTTTTTGTTTTTTTTTTTAATCCCGGAAATAACCTCTGAGATTTTTTGGGGGCGATCAATAATTTCTTTTTCTTTCTTTCTTTTTCTTTTTTTTAACTTTCAAAAAAAAAAGGTGGGGTGTGTGATGGGCGGCCCCACCCCTAAAATCCTCCCCTGATTATGAAGAATAATATCCCCACCCAACAATTTGTACTTATCAATTGATCTGGTATACACATCCCCACCAAACAATTTGTACTTATCAATTGATCTGGTATACACGATGATGAACTAGTCTTATATTTTTATTCAAACATACAAAAATAATAGAGAAGCATCAATTCGATCACATTATGAGTCCTTTCGGCGGCCTATGCACGACCCTCTTGATCCAACGATGGGGTATCAAGTTAAATCAAATATATTGATTTTGATTGTCTTTATCTACAGATCAACCATGGATCATCAGTAGGCCGAGGGTTAAATAAATTACTAATCGATTGCATCACATGTTGTACATGTAAGTTTAATCACTGACTCATCAGATTCGGGATTTACAATATTTGAGTTAAGTTCATTCTTAATGGCACACACAATACCTGCCAGAAAAATAATCTGTGGTCTGTAGTACTAAGATTAACAGGACCTGAACATGAATTGAAACGGATCAATTAATGATGATGTGTCTATTGACCCGGCGTCCTTGTGGTCGATGAATTTCCGTATTTGGTTCATTATTAGTTTGATCATATTTGTGTTAGTGAACGTCTTATGCTATCTATGTAAATCCATAGAGTAGATAACGAATCTCAATGTGGCATATTCCCTTTAAATAAATACATAATACATACGGTTACAATGAAAGGGTTCAGAGCTCCACTGCGTTGCTATTGGTGGGTGCCAAGCTTCGGCAGATTTTGCTTAAGGTCCTATAAAAAATATTATTAGTTTATCACCCTATCTGGGTAGGAAAAGTGATGAGGGAGGAAGACTTTTTTTATTTTGCTAAAACCAAATATCATCCTTGGGTGATTTGCTGGTGCATTGATATTCAAAGTAAAACATGATTTAGAAAATGCAAACAATATCTACTAACTATTTAATAAAATAAATGAAAAAAAAATTAATTTAAAAAAAATTCAATTTTTTTTTTTTTCACAATTTTTTTTCCAGTACCATAGAACATATGCGCGCAGGGATGATAAACTAATATTTTTTTTATTGGGCCTAATCTGTTTATTTGTTTGATTTACTCTGTTTTCATTTACTCCTTTTGTTCGCCCTGAACCGTATTGCATTCTGTCGTGGATATTGGCGCTATGTAATTCCTTGTTGATTCATTGATTTTTCATGTTGACTTTTAAAATTAAGGCCCATAAAAAAAATTATTAGTTTATCAACCCCTCCCTCCTCACTTTTGGGGAAATTATTCTTTTTTTTTTTTTTTTTTTCGAAGGGTCGATTTTCCATCGTTTTTCACTTGATAAGCTCAGATTTCTTGCAAATATGTTTACTGGTACAACAAAAACAGTTTAAATATAAATTTAATACCATTCTTATGACTTTTTATATATGTGTACCTAACTATTGATTAACTTGTGAACATCGGTAAAATGGGGGCGGGGTTAGCAAAAAAAATCCTCCCTTTCTCATCAGTTTTTATTCTTTGATAGTGATAAGCTAATGTAAGTTTCAGGGTGGTTCGGGGGATGCAGTCAAAAAATTAGTGATGGGTTTTGTGTCTCGATGCATGGGTTGAAGGGTGAAGGCAGGGATTTTTTTTTTAAACATACAAGTCGTTTAGTTTTCTCTGTTAAGTTATTTTTTTCAATCAGTGCTTAATGTGTTAAGTTTTGATTTTCTTGGACTTTGTTTTTCTTTGGACACACCGTTACGTACTGTTGTAAAAGTGTCAATTTTCTAAATAAAAATAATATGGAAATATTATAGGCCTACGGGTATTCTGGGTCTGAATCTGGATATGGTCGTGTCGGCGGTTTCAACCTGAGTCGTACTTTCGAAACTGTAAAAAGAGGCTCATGTTCTACAGTATTGAACTGTTCCCTGATTTAAATTAATGCATCACAAAATACACATGATTGTTATTGACTGTAGGTCTATATCGAATTAGTCGACTCACATATGACCCAAAGCGATGTACACGTGACTTATTATAGGCCTACGTGTTTAGTCATGCATGGTACCTCATATCGATTCTACGGTTCATGACCCTCTTCTCGGGTCATTGTGAGTCGGTGTTATTCAATCTCCAACAGCAGGCCTATAATAATAATATAATCACAAGTACAATTTCTTGGAAACAAATTATCTGTAATGTCTACTCTAGTATAAGATTATAGTTCCATACATCCATTTAGCAATGTGCACCCAATTGGTCTGTCACGTGGCACATAGAAATCGCTACGAGCACCATGGGGAAACCTACTTTAACCCCTCCCCATCCACGTCTACACTCCCGGTGTGGTAAATTTTTTTAAAAAATGCATTTTAGAGGATTGAATTTCATTTCATTACAAGAGTTTTTGAGCATAAGAGTGTTATGGTCCTCCCTTTATAGAAAACTCGATTCAAAACGGCATGAAATACGGTACCAAAAGTGTGTTTATGAATAAAAAAGAAAAACCCCCAAAACTATTGAATTTCATTAACATGTTCGTTCACAAAACTTGTCATTCGTAATTTATAGCTCAACCAGAAGAACAAACATTTTAAACGTGTATACGAACTGAAGATTCATAAACATTCGACTTACCAGAACTTTTTCAAATTTTCTCACTGAATTGGAGAATCTCATGCAAAACACAAAGAACCCTATAGGCCCTCCTTAAATATAAATATTAAGATAATTTTTACATGTTTGCTCACGAATCGTCGTTCAAGTAAACATTTAACAACTCACTATGAAAGGGAAACGAAGTGACGTCATAATTTTTTGTACAACCTTTGGGAATTGCGTTTCATTAGTGAATGACTAATTGATGTGTTGTTTAATGACATTTGCCCAAGTTTGGGATTAAACTAACTTAATCATAGTAAGTAATGAAGTAAATTGTATCCATAGACCTCATTTACGAAGCTTGATTGTTAATTGATTGATTACTTGCTACCATTCTGAAAACACCAATTGTATAAATTAATGTAGTCACTCAAAATGCAAAAATATTTTTAGAAACATATATAATGAAAGTTTGATGGCGTACCGTATTCAGTATCGTTTACTATTTCAAATGGCAAAACTCCCCTATTAACTGTGCATCTGTGCAACTGGTCAAATGAAATAATTTATTCCAAAAGCAACCCGGTTACTTTCAATTCAAAATGGCGGTTCCTTGAGCAATGTTATGACAAGTACTTTCATGAATATAGTATCAGTATTTTAGAAAACTTCATTTCAATGTGTGTTTATGTTTGTAGGTGTTTGCAAAATGTGCCTTTTTATTCACTATGTACTACTAACTCTAATTTTACAATTTTACATCTTTTCTTCGCCGGAATAAATAGGCTATACAGTACTAATATCGTGTAGGCACACATTTGTATTTTCTTAATGCATAAAGATATGAAATTTAATACGAAATCAATACTGTACAATAGTTAGACGGAGATACAAGAGTATACTATTCCGTATTCGTTTTATGGACGACTTAAAAAGTAGTCGAGGAATACTGATATTAATAACAATTATAATATTAATAATATGATATAGGCTTCAATAATTTATATTTTTTAAGGCGTCATCCTGTATAATGATAAATACATGTTTAGAGAAGTCCCATGTATTTAGATTATTACGAGACCAACCAAAATTGTAGGTATTAACTTGAAACTAATATTATACTTCATCGTAACAGTCGCCAATAGATCACAGTCATGTGTCTTAGAATAATCCTCCTGAATGTGCGTGTTTACCTAATTGACCTATCAATAAACGAATAACTATTTAATTTCATTATTGAACCTGTAATTGTGTAATATTGCGTAATGGCACGTGACAATCCGAACAGCCAGTCAACCATGTCAACTTTGAGTTCACATCCAATAATTGGATTTCCTTTCATATAAGGTTATGGAACGTCGAGGTTGCAAAATACT